GTTCATACAAAGGAGTGTTAGTTACAAGACTAGCGAGGTCATCTTAAAATTATATCTAGCGCTTGTGAGACCTTACCTGGATTACGCAGTTCAGTTCTGGTCACCGTCTTACAGAATGGATATAGAATCCTTGGAAAGAATCCAGAGGAGAATGACAAGACTAATCCCGGGCCTTCGGAACCTTGAGTACAGAGACAGGTTAAAGCATCTTAATTTGCACTCCCTCGAGAGAAGTAGAGCGAGGGGCGACCTGATAGAGGTGTATAAATGGAAGTCAGGGCTAAACAAAGGGGACATTACAAAGGTACTCAAAATATCCAACCAGGAGCGATCTCGTGACAATGATTTTAAATTAAACAAATTTAGATTTAGGCGAGAAATGGGTAAACACTGGTTTGTAAACAGAGTAGTGGATGAATGGAACAAGTTACCAAATATAGTTATTAACTCGAATACGCTGGATAGCTTCAAACACAGGTTCGATGCTTATATGAGCAATAGGGGTTGGGTATAAACGGGACTGCCCAGTATGGGTCAATAGGCCAGCTACAGTTTCCTCCATTCTTATGTTCTAAGCTTGTTCCATTGTTTCCCTTTTCCCAGTGTGATTTTATCAAGATTTATCTTATCCACGTTTTCATTGTGTATCTACATGAAATATATATATATATATATATATATATATATATATATATATATATATATATATATATATATATATATATATATATATATATATATATATATATATATATACCTGTATATATATAACGAAGAGGAGAACCAGGGAAAACACAAACATCTTGACTAAGTTGGGTTTCTTTAATCACTAACTTTTCGGAAAAATTATTTTCCATCATCAGAGCCAAGAAAACAAAAAGTTTTAAAAAAGTTTTAAAAATACAGTTGATATACAATAAAAACGTAACATTATAACATAATTTACCTTCCACAAAATTTAAAGATAGAGCACTTCAATTTAAAACCGACAAAAATGACGAGAAACCTATGTACAGTACAAAGCCAAAATCAGGAAAGAAAAATGTGAAATAAAAATATACAGTTGTTTTACCTGAATTTAGACGAGCCTTAGTGCGAAAATCACCACAAATCACATAAAGCCATATCACAAATGGATGGCTTTACTTTATACTGATGCAAAAATTCCACATAATGAGGAAGTCCGTCTCACAGTTGCTACTGCCAAGAACTGAGAAATCAGGCGGCGAAAATGGGTGGTCATGTTGGTGGGCGTGGTTACGGATAGTAGTGGGGCAGCTAAATGCAATTTTTCAAGAGAATCATGCAAATGGTGATACAAGCACCATATTTGGCATGGTAATTCTCTAATGGTTACTAGTCAAGTCTGCCTGATTGGCCATTTAGAAATCCAAGATGGCGGCTATTTTTCAAGCTGGCCGCCATATTGACCTTCAAAAGTTTATTTTTCTTATAGAAATTGATGTACTGTAGTTGGTCAATCTGAGTGACCTTGGTGTCTATATGTATGTTTTCAAGCATGCTCAGATGATTTTGCATAGTTTTAAGTCCATTGTAACATTTTTAGCCACATAACATAACACTTTTAGTAACAAAATATAACAAAATATAAATTACTACAAAAAAAGGTACTCACTATTAGCACTGGTTCCTGTGACTTCTCCTGACAGTACATCTTTGTGCATTTACTGCTGTTCACATATGTAGCTGCAAAGTGCTGTGCAGGAAAGTCCAGAGCGAAAGCCTTTGCATCTCTGGTTGCAGTCTTTTTTACAGGAACTTTTGGTCAGCTCCTGACAGCATGTCGCAATCGGGGGAAGAGTCGTCCAACGTATCTGCCATGCCTCTCCCTTCTGCGTTCATCCCCAGTTGACAGGACTGCTGGTTTCTCGATTGGAGATTGTTGCCTGGCCCCAGCCTGTTCAATGCATCCTTCATGAAATGTACTGCAGAAGTGTGACTTGTGCTGAAGCATGTCCCGTGGTATCATCCCAGCAGCCTTGGCCAGATGGATCGCGTCACCGTATTTGCTTGTTTGTGCCAGGATTGAGCCAACATCCTTCTCAAAGGCCAGTAGGATATCTCTTCCTTGGTGATGAGCTTTCAGCAGGGGGAAGTGAAAAAGCAGCTGGTCCTTCAGTCGAGTAGCATGAACATCGGGCGATCCAACTCCCAGCTGCTCAAGTCTGTCTGTAGAGTGTGACCAGGTCAGCAAGTCTGAAAATGGGTGGTTCAGTACCTTCACTAGAAGCTTTCATCTGACCAGTTCAGAGAAAGCAGTTAGGTATGCGTCCTTGTTCGGACGAAGCTCTTGTGCTTCTTCTTGCTCATGAGCATTTCGGTGTGTTCTTTCTCGGTTGTACAGGTCTGCCAGGCAGCGAGGGTGATATTTCAGTTCTTGTGCCACAACATCTCCCGCACTTAGTTTGGCAAGGAGTTTTCCATCGCTAAGTGTCTTTGCACAATCATTCAATCTTTTATTAAGTTTCATTGTCATTGCATGTCTTATCTCATCTCCCGAAGCTTCTTCCTCACATAAAAAGCATTCTGTTGCTTTGGGGTCATTGACCATTCGTGGCATCTTGCTACTGCTGCTCACCTCTGTAGCAACTGCAGAGGTTCGACTTTTCTGAGCTCAATTTAACATTGTGTTGTTGAACAGAAGTCTGCAACTCTCATGATACTGTGCCTTGTTTCTCCTCAAGGTCTCCTCTATCCCATCATCTTCAACAAGTCTTGCAGGGTCAAGCTTGAGTGGCAGTGCATTGACTGAATGAAATAGAGGAATATTCCTTGCCAAGCTCTTGTAACCGTCATCTCCTTTTTTGGCAGGATTTGCATGTGGAGACTTAAGATCTTCCTTCTTATACTGTTGACAAAGAAAACACTTTGCCCAATCAGTGAGAAATAATTTGTTGGTAGATTTTGTGTCCATAACTATTTTTGATCTTCAGGGCCGAGGGTTTATCCTTTTACCACCCTGATGAGCACTTTCCTGTATGGAATACAACTAGGTTCATGCCTTTTGCCCTACACATAGTCCGATCGTTCACCAGTGTCATTAGTCCCGTGCGATCTGTACACCATCCAGATAACTAAAACCCTGTTATCCTTGGCTCGGCTCTCCCGCGCTGGCACATCCTGTCAATTCAGGTGCGGCTGCTTAACTGATTTGGAGGTGGTTAAGCAGCATTTGGGACACTAAGCTTTTGCCGTATGACATGATTTTTCTTAGCTGGCACTGAACCCCATGCTGGGTTGCACAGCAGTGATGTCACCAGTGTGCCCTGGTAGTGCCTGACAATCACTCCCTCACATGCAGAGACCCTCTGCATGCGACCCTCACCTAGTTGGAAAAAACATAATACCAGTCATAAATAAGACAAATATATATCTGAGAGTATCAGAAATAGAACAAATCATCTGAGCATGCTTGAAAACATACATATCGACACTAAGATCATTTAGATTGACCAACTACATCAATTTCTAAAAAAAAAAAAATCATCTTTCGAGGGTCAATTTGGCAGCCATCTTGAAAAATGTCCGCCATCTTGGATTTCTAAATGGCCAATCAGGCAGATATGACAAGTAGCCCATAGGGTATGATCATGCCAATTTCATGCTTGCATCACCATTTGCACGATTTTCCCCTTATCCGCTCTACTATAGCTGAATGTGGTGGTTGTGTGATTAACTGGCCTGTTCGGACGGAACGGCCCAAGTGTTCATGGATGAGAGTTATCAAATGTCTTTTTGTTTTACCTATATATGCTGCCCTACAGCTAGCACACGTAAATTGATAAACAACTGAGGATTGCAGGTGTGTGGGTATGGTGTCTTTAATTTTAAAGAATTTTTTAATTGAACTCTGGGTTTTGAAGACTAGTCTAAGAGAAATTTGTGGATAGAATTAATTGAAAAGCTTCTTAAGTTTGTTTCTAAGGATGAAACTGAGTGGGCCTGTGTACGGGATGGTGAAATAGATAGAATAGTTAGGAACGGTGTGTATTTGAGGCTGTGTGAGACTAATAAACCTATTAAGGGTTTTGCCTATATAAGTGTCTGTAAATCTCTTAGGGAAACCATTGTTAAAGAGTAGTTCCGTTATGTATTTTAGTTCAATGTCCAATTGGAAATAGCTTGAACATATATTAAAGGCTCTGTTGGTACGTACTAGATAACATTTGTAATTAAGAGGAATAAAAGATAAAAATTTTGAACTCAAACCAGTGAAAGTTGGTTTTCTGTATAAGACTGTCTCGAAACTATTATGAAGACGGTGGATATTAACATCAAGGAATGGTAGAATATTGTCCTTTTCAAATTCACAAGTAAATATGATGTTGCCATGTTTCGAATTTAAATAATTTAGGAACATAGAGACGTGATCAAGTGATCTGAAAATTAAAAAAGTGTCATCAACATACCGACGTAAGAACAAAGGCTTAAATTGGGCGGGGCATTCGGTTAGCCAAAGCTTCTCGTGGTGACAGAGGAAAGCGTTGGCCAACGTGGGACCTAAGGGTGAACCCATAGCAACACCATGACATTGTTTATAAGCTTTGTTATTAAATTGTGGTCCATTGAATCCATCAATTAAATTAGTATTTGAGAACAGTTCATCTGTACATATGTCAATAGTTTCGGCAAGAGGGATGTTGGTAAATAGAGACTGTATATCAAAGCTAGCCATAACACAGTTGTTGAGCGAGATGCTAGTTAGTTCCTTAACAAAACTAAAAGTGTTTTTAACAGAGTATTGATTATAGGTTATTGGTGACAATATGGTAACTAGGAATTTAGACAGATTATAGTTGAAGGTGCCGAGGACAGACAATATAGGGCATAAGGGACACTCATCCTTGTGTACCTTTGGTAGACAGTACAGGATACCTGGTTTAGCAGCTAACAAAGAGTTATAAAAGGGAGGAGTCATTAATGACATTCTTTTTTCTAAGTTTACGAAGAAATCTGTTAATCTTGTCCTAATACTTAAGAATTACCCTGAATAAGTCGTCTAGAATGGGGGCAAATTTAGTGAGGGCGTTAAGTATATTCATAATTTTCTGAACCTAGGACGTTTTATTGAGTATAACAACCCCATTACCCTTGTCTGGTTTAGTGATGATAATATTGTCGTTGGATGCTAAACTTTTAAGTGCGAGAAATTTTCACTTAGAAAGTGCTTGTTTGGTGCTGAACGAGTTGTATGAATATTAGGACCAAAACGCTAAGTGGCGGAAAGAGTCAATGAAATAATACAAATCTTTTGATACTGGATCATATAAACTGAGAGGAGACAATTTCTTAAAAAGACTCTCAAAACCAAGAAAATGGTTAAAAAGAAGTCTAATTTGCGGGGATTACCGTCGTGAACATAACCTAGTTTTCTAAGTTTGTGGTAGTGGACGAGTTCAATTCAAGAAGTCAGTTTATAATTTATAGTATTTATTAAATTCCGTAAATGGTTGTAATCTAAATAAGACACTTGAGACTTTAATTCCCGAGATAGTTTATCGTGCTTGTCACGGGTAAGGTTAATATTATGTTTCTTTGTCCTTACTTCACTGCTAAGTAGAGGTCTCTGACAATTTATGTAGGACTTAGAGTGCTGCAGGTTACGGTTATGGACAACCAGTGCTCGCCTTTTACAGAGCTGTCGAACGACAAGACTACAAGTTGAGAAAGCTACAGTGTGATCTTCTGTTTCTGGATTCATGATCTTCACAGAACTTGATCCCAAGTTTCCTGAAATTTAAACTAAGTAACCGTAACCTGCAGCACTGTAAGTCCTACAGAAATTGTCATAGACATCTACTTAGCAGTGAATTAAGGATGGCTTTGGAGTCCTGTGAACACTTTGGCCCTCAAAGGGGCTAGGAAAGGGCGCTTGCGCTTCTTTCGCGGAGATTCGGAGGTGAACGGGGATAAGCAGAAGAAAGAATAACAAGCGTAGTGGAGGGTCCGGTCATAAAGGCAGGTGATGGTGAATGATTACAAGAGCTGGCAGATACATAATTGGCAAGCTGGACTGTTGATCGTGTATCTAAAACATAGCAGCAAGGTTTCCAAAGATCGTACGGAATCGGTGCGAGGACGAACTGCACGTGCACAACGAACGTCACGGGCCGTACCCCAGAATACACTTGTTACAAGAGTTTTGTACAGAAACATGCGGACAGAGCAAACAACATATTCTTAAAGGTAGGGACAACAGTGATGGGTGTAAGAAAGAACAGTCTCTTCTGCCCCCCCCTCCCCTAGAATAAATTTTCAAGTAGACGAGCCGTGGGCATGGCAGTTACCACTGATGAAAGAGCTTAAAGGGGAGGCTGATGAAGAATGCAAGGCTTTAGCAGAGCTACGCTGGAGATGAAACAATTGCTGTGCAAGGATTACGCCGAATTGGCTCCCGCATCCCAACTCACTGCAACCCCAGAAAAAAAAAACATGGTACCTCCCACATCACCCTGTGTTGAATCTCAAGAAGCCAGACAAAGTACGCATCGTCTCTTGTTGTGCCGCTGTGTATGCCAACACGTCGTTGAACAGTGAAGTTCTACAAGGACCAGACCTCAACAACAAACTATTAGGTGTCCTGATACGATTTCACCAGGGAAGGACAGCAATCATGGCCGGTATTGAAGCCATGTTCCATCAAATTGGAGTCACACCTGAACATCGAGACTCCCTGAGATTTTTTGTGGTAGGACAGTGCAGACTTGATTCAAGCTTCACGCTCGTTTAGAATGAAGGTTAATCTCTTGGAGAGGAGAGGGGTAGAACCCGTCGTGCTCAGTATACGCCTTAATGCGCACCTTCTATGATCACCGCTCTGAGTTTGCTGCAGCTGTTGCCAGGGCGGAATGCAACTTCTATATGGATGACTTACTTCTATCACTTGACTCTTCGAGTGAAGCAACAGAAATGTCCCAGCACCTACGACAACTGCTCAAAAGGGGAGGCTTGCACTTCACGAAATGGGCGAGTAATCACAAGGAAGTACTGCGTTTCATCCCGTCTGAGGAGAGACACGTTGGCATAAAGGAACTCAACTTAAGCCAACACCTACTACCGGTGGAACGAGCGTTAGGAGTCACATGGAACTTGGAGAACGATCAGTTTGCTGTCAAAACTCAAATTCAAAGGAAGCCCTCCACAAAAGGAGGGCTTACTGAGCGTTGTCAGTTCGATCTACGACCCTCTTGGCTTCATAGCTCCGCTCGTCATTAAGGCGAAACTGTTGTTCCAAGATGAATACCGACGAAGAAGAGGATGGGATGAACCACTACTAGAGTTCAATAACGTGGCGTGGAACGCGTGACTAGAGGAATTTCTGCGCCCGGTGACACACAGCTTTCCGCGGAGTTACAAACCTAGAGACCATGGGCGAACCGTGTCGGTACAGTTGCAGGCGACGCTTCGCAAGTGGCGTACGGCCTGGTATCATACTTGAAACTGACGGATACTGAGGAAATATCCATTGTTCCTTTATATATGGTAAAACAAAGTTAGCTCCCCTCAAAAAACAAACTATTTTCTGACTAGAGCTGTGTGCAGCTGTCTTAGCCGTCATTGCTGACCAGATGATAATTGCAAGAACTGGAGTTGAAAGTCGAAGAGTCGGTTTTTTGGACGGACAGCATGTTGGTATGCCAATACATCGCAAACACCAGTCGTCAGTTCCACACATTCGTGTCGAACCAAGTGGCTGTTATACAGGAGCTCTCAGAGATAAATCAATGGGGCATGTAAACACGTTACTGAACCCAGCGGATGATGCAACCAGTGGATTCTCTGTGGATGAGATGGCCGACGGCGGCCGGTCGATACAAAGACCACTTTTACGTAAAAGAGGTTAATACTAATCATGGACTCGAGTGGTGACGTGGAGGTGAAACGGAACGTAGCCGTCTTGACGTTTAGTAGTTCGACCACGGCACCCGGACAGGGGGTGCAAGCACTGTGGGCATGGTATTCATCGTGGTCTCCTCTACTGAATGAAGTGGCATGGCTGAGGAGGTTTGTTAAATGGCTGAGAGAAGGAAGGGACCAACGGCGAGATAGGCAAAGTGGATCACGAGTAGCTGAGTTAGAGAGGGCAAGAGTTGTCATTTTATGCTCAGTGCAAGAGGAATGGTTTTGTAGTGGATACTCTCCCCTACAACTGCCGATTTGGCACTTGTCGACCGCTTACCAGCCAACCAGCGGAGAGTTCCACATGTTGCTGTTGTGTTGTTGAGATTGTCGGACAGTAGTCTGACACGGGCCTTTGCCTGTAGGCGGCCCGTTTGGTGGTTCCGGCTGGAGTACTTGGAGCAGCCAGACCGGATTTGGGATGGAGGTTGTCCTACATGCAGATGTGAAAGGATACTACAGGTTTGCAAGTGTGAGCGGACCCTTGGTCAGTGAATGCTTACCATCAACCCCCACTCTTGGAGGTGGTCAGTTTTGGAGTGGCGCGCCCCCCGGAACTGGGGTCCGCACTTGCTGGTTGGAGGATACTTCGTAAGCTATCTGGTGGTGGGTATCGTGTGATGACCCGGAGAAGGTGGTGAATGTGGTTTGGCTGGGCCTTTCGGGTTAGAGTGGCTGCTGGTGTTGTGTATTCTTTTTGGAACTTTCGAATTCTGTTTCGGAGACTTTGTGTGACTTCGCAGTCGAAGAGATAGTGTTCCAGTGGGTTGGCCGCTGGCTCCTGACAGTAGGTGCATTCCCTGACGACATTTCCTTGACTTGACTTGACGTCTGTAGATAAGGCAGAAGGCTATTGTAAAAGTCGGTGGAGGCCGATTAGATTAAAGTTCTTTGCAGCGACGGGGGAGAGGGTCAATAGGATCAAGGAAAAGAGGAGAAATTCCGAAGGAAAGTAAGAGATTGACA